AAGCAACAGGACAAAGTGTTTAAGAAGACATCGCCAGTGACTTCAAGTCAGCATCACGTCCTATAATTTATTCGACAGCAAATAAACCTTTCTTTTCTATTAGCGATAGCCTTGTAAAATAGATAACGGAGTTTCGTTTACTTTCGTACTACGTATTAGCAATCAGAGCTACAGCGTACCTTTACGTCGAGATAAACGTTTTTATCTGCATAATTTCTTAAAAACTTCATTTGAATGAATAATTTGACTGATATAATTGACAGATACATATGTATTAAAATGGTAGAAACATTTAGGTTTGATGATGTTTATAAATTTGTTATTTTACAGGGTTATGTGAAATAAGCTTAATGGAAGATGGTGTGGTATGTTAACGGTTTAATTTAACTGAAAGATTTACTAACCTTGCGTTTTCTCTCTCCACGATTTGATTGGTACTGGTACAGTAATTACGTCATTGCAATATTTCATTGATACTGGTACAGTAATTACGTCATTGCAAGAGGCAGTAATTTATCTTCGATTGTTTAATGACACTCTGTCTACTGTTTAATATATATCTACTGTAAAATAATATATTTTAATGGTTAATGTATTGATCAGGGCCTGAAAATAACGGTCGTGTCCAATTTGTTAAAATATTAATCAGCCTAACGTCTGAAGCTATTGAGTAAAATCAATAAACATCTGCCAGAATAGCCGCCCCATGCGTTTGGGTCCCCTAAAATATAACACAGACGTGATAAAATATCAATACAATGTGTCACCACACGGGGTGAAAGAATCAAACGAATGAGAAAAAGAAATATGGATCGTTTCCGGTTCCTAATCTGCCATGATGTTAGTTGCATTTCTACCCGCTTGGGTACTGCAAATTTATGTCGTGCTTAACATTAACGGGGGTCCGCAGTGGCTGCGCGGTCTGAGGCGTGGGCCTTGTGCCGCTTGGTCACTGGGACCGTGGGTTCGATTCCCACTCAAGCCATGGATGTTTGTCAGCGTGTTTCTGTGTTGTGTTGTCCTGTGTACAGGTAGAGGCTTTGCGACGGACCGATCCCTCATCCAAGGAGTCCTACCGAATGGCTTATAGATCAAGCTAACGAAAAGTTGGGACTCGCAGTGCTCAGGCACTTGGAGAACGGGTCGTTCTCAGTATCCAGTTAACATGAACGAGACCCTGCCAGCAGGCAGATACATTTGGTTGCACTGCACACGTGCTACGTTTCATTACGCCTTTCGCTAATTTAACCAGCAGTGGCTCGGTTGCAAGTTAAACCTTAAACGTGATGCTAATTCTTCAGCAGAAATATGTTAAACAAGGAAATAAAGCCCTATATTTAAATATCACACACGTAGGCTAGACCTGCAGTATTTTATCGTTAGACTTCGACATTTTTGTTATTTTGTCACATTAATTCCGATAAATACAATAAAGAATTTTAGTAGCAATAAGATTTGGAGATTAAAAATTATTTAATTAATGTTATTTAAGCTTATGACTTGCTGATTTTGCGCAGTTAGATCAAGTATATTTCTATGCAATAAGCAAGTGTTGGTTAGTAGCTTTGTTGGTAAGTGATCGTACACTGTTGAGAGATGTTGGACCTTGAAGGATAATATTTATAAGTGTATGTATACTTTGGATTTTTCTGCCATCTTTCACGAGCAATTACATGACATCAGACACTTCTACCTCCCCGTTTAAAAATGTTTGAGAACGAAGTGAGTATAAAAATACTTAGAACTTTGACATTGTACCGAAAAACTCCAGGAATTTTACAGGGCACCGCATATTTCTAGGTTAGTAATATGTAGAAAACAGACGAGTGGAATATGCAGCTAAGATGAAACAAAAAATGAGTACAGAATAGTGGTGAAAAGCTGCCATTTTGAATACGAAAAAGATGAGGGAACAACTTAAGATCGATCTTAAGGTTTTACGTCTTAAAGACTGGAGGCTTTGAATTCGAATGCGCGTGTCAATGACCCGCTGAACATACAGGCGTAAGTGTATCAGCACCCAAGATGTTCTGATACCGAAAGATTGTAAGATTAATTCGAGACCCGTTGCCCTCTGATTCGCAAGTATGCAGAAGGAACGTGACTCCTTGGAGATTCAGCATCCGCAGGCCATCACGAGATAATTAATGGCAGAACCATGGCACTGCGGACCGCCACAGTACCAGCTGTGTATCATGTCTGACTAAATGGACTGACATTCAATTGCAGGTATTCACAAGTGGATAACTGTCTCTCTCAGATTCGTGTTTGCATCATCCGAAGATGACACAGATGGACCTGTTCTCCATTCACAGACCTGTCCGTCACAAGAAACATTGAGCTCAACCAAGTCGCATTCCGTTGCACACTGTTAGGCAAACTGTGGTCTGCAACCCCTGGGATTACAGGGACATAATTTAATTTAAAAATAATTCAATTGTGCCTGAACTTTTTCACCTTTTAATATTGCAACAGTCCATATTGTCAACAAATTCTCTAATTTTATTACATAAACCATTTTATCAAACCTCAGAGGGCTTACTGCTCATTTATCAGAAACAAATATTTATTGTTGTAAAAGTATTAAATAATATCCTACATATAATATACTAAGATGTAAGTTACCTTCGTTTTGTCGCTAAATAGCATAAACGTTGCATAAAATAACGTTTCATATTAAATTGGTACATTTTGACATATATACGTTGTTTTATATCATGTACATTTTATAAACGATACACCATTTTTAAATTAATTAAACCACGTTTGATTCGTGTGGCATGTAAAGTAGATGTTATATCGACTCAGTACAGCACAAAATTAAAATCACGAACGAGCTTCCTGTTTGTGACATCTGGTACCAAGTTTGATCGTAAACTGTTCAGCCAATCTAACACACTCGAATAGTGACGGTGCCCGACAGTGAAGTGTTTTGTCAAACAGCATTTAGTACAAGCTCGGCGTGTCACATCGCGCCCAGAACTGCTACCATCTTCTTAAAATCGTGAAAAATACCGGAGGCATTAGTAAATTGCTCCCAAATAGAGCCACTGTGCCCGGTTACATCCCACGTTCGCTCAAACGGGTCCACACACGTGTTCTCAGTTGCAGGAACTTTCTCTCTGTCGAACGCAACTCAGTTTCTGCTCATCTTACTAGTAGTCTGAACATCGATTCCCGTTACCTCTTTCTTTCTAGCTTTCGTTTTGGTTTCCCTTCAATTTGCCTTTCTTTGTCCACTAAAAGAACACAAAGTTTCTGGCAATTGATCTGTCCAGTGAATGAGGTTAGCAACCATCAAGATCTGCACCGGCGACGGTTCCAGGCTGGCTCACGCCCGGACATTTTCAACTAAGAATATAAAAAGATCCCATTTTCCGAAGATCGGTGTTTCATTTAATAATATCAGTCGATGAACAACTCCAGAAATCCAGTAATGCTAACTGGTTCCTTTTTATGCTACAATTAACTTTATGTGTGGAATTTGCTCTTTCTTATTAGCCTGACGGATGTAATGAACATTATGATATCATTAGCTTGAAATATCCTTTGAAAATTATGACCACTTAATGCAAACGTCAGTATACACGATACATAAATCATGCTTTTTAAAGGGAAGAAATTGAAAGAATTCTTTGGAATGGAATGTAAATAAATAAGCAGGCATGTTGTACTTTAAAACTGGTAACTTACTTTATAAATCACTCAACCCAAGAATAATGAATTCACAAAAAGATATATGATTTTTTGATTATGGATAAATGTAATGTCAATTAACATTCTTCAGTGTACTTATTTAAGTAAGTAAATGGGTAAGCATTTAACTTTACAAAATAACATTACTTCATTACCTTCACACTATAACAATGGGCTGACGGTATTATCACTAACACACGAGAAGGAAAACCCTAATCACGATATCAAATATTATCGATCGTTAGTCACAAATTCAGTTTCCATTGGATAGTGGAGAGGTTAAAACTCTGACGATGACTTATGAGTATTATCGTTGCTGCCGCAAAACCAATTCTCATTAAATTGCGATATAAAATAAGGATGTCCAACTTTTATAGTTCTTTTATTTATTTCCTAAATTCATTCCATTTTGGTGACACTCTGCGGTCTACAAAGGAGAACAGAGAAAATACACCCCTGGTCCACAGACTTCGGTGTTGTAACCAATAGCAACAGTACTTACAATAATTGCTGAATTATATACTGATTAAAATAAATGACTGTACACTTCGACTCTTCTGTTGATCAATCAAATCACTGAATCCTGTAATAGTTTACGGTCCGGGGATGAAAATGAAAAAAAAAAAAAACAGGCTGAGATTAAATACTTCCACCTCACGACATTTCTCGTCTGCCAATTTAAAATTTACAAAAATCTCAAACGTAGGTATTTTTGTAAATGTCGATTGAAGAAACTGATTTGTCTTGGCGAGCAGTGCCAGAACCGCTTATGCGACAAATTTTTTTTCTCTTTTTCCGACTACACCCTGACTAGCTAATGCGACTGTCTCAAGGGTCCCGTAACGCGTGCACGGCTGTACAACGGGATCCTCTTACGACGGAAACGGACGATAATTTGTGTGCCGAAGTGTGTGGTGAACATTATGCTTTTCTCTGAAACCAATTGCTGAACGTGCATAAAATAGCTCCAGTCACTTTGTATCGCGCCTTCTCTGTGTCCTGCAGCATTTAACAACGACTAATTTTAAAAAAAACGTTGTCGTGAAAGAGAAAATAAGACTTACAAGTTTGGAAGGAAATTTATTCATTCAGGTTGCGAAACGATTTCATAGAGTGTCGTCTTATAGTAATTGTTATCATCAATTAGACACAAGCGGTTAATAAAAAGGCAACTACATAAATAAACACCACACAAGGCTATACATAATCATCATTCATATTTTAATCTAAAGACGTTTCTCAAGTCTTGTGATCAGTTGGTTCCGAAGGATAGTAATATTTCTGCAAACGCTGCTGTGTTTCAGGGCGTGACCCCTGGGAGGAGGCTGCACCCTTTCTCCCCGATGAGTGGTGCTGTGGACACCTCTCTAGCGTGGTACTGTTACTACCCGCGGATTGCGTCCCTGCCCCATGTGAGGACCAGCCAAAACAAGATGCGTGAGAAAGACTCCAGCCCTCGCAAGATGCTGCTCTCCTCAAGTGGACACAGCTCGCCGAAGCAGGCCGCAGTGTACCCCCTGTCCATCAGGGTACCTCAAGACAACGAGCCGCAGTACAACGCAGCTGATGAGATGCCGTTTGATCTGTCCCGCAACACGCGGTCCGCAGGCCCACACATGTCTCCGGCTGGAAGGCCACCTCCAGGGCCGGTCGATGAGAAAGAAGACGACCAACCACTGGATCTCCGAGTGGAGCACAAGAAGCTGTCGCTGGTCATGGCGCGCAGAAGGGTCGCTGACGAGAACCAGAACGTGATACTGCGCTCCCCATCGCCGCCCTTCGACAAGGGGTCGCAGGAATATAACAGAAGGGATGACGACAAAGAAGATGGAGCAACGCAGGCGACACCTCCCGGCACCAACAACATGAAACCCTCGTCTCCTAGCGTAAAACCATACCCCGTTTTATTCTCGCACCAACCTCTCCACCCCATGATGCTCGAGGCAATGTACAGGGCCGGGAAAGATGGTCAAAGATTACCAATCTCTTACCCAGTCAGTCCCCCGGGTTACCCTCAACCCCCACGACCCTATCCGTTCCTCAACACTAACTTGCTCAACGGACATCAGTCCCCTGGCGTCCCACCTCCACCACCACCACCATTCGACGTCTTACGCACCCACCATCAACACCCAGCTCTTCAGAAACAATACCATCATCAGGATCCTCAGCCCAACGGCAGCGCGCCTAGCTCTGGAGGCGGCAAACTCAAGGACCGATACGCATGCAAATTCTGTGGCAAAGTTTTTCCCAGGTCTGCCAACCTCACGCGTCACCTGCGTACGCACACCGGGGAACAACCGTACAAGTGCAAATACTGCGAGCGGTCCTTCAGCATCTCGTCCAACCTGCAGCGTCACGTCCGTAACATTCATAACAAGGAGAAGCCATTCAAGTGTCCACTGTGTGAGAGATGCTTTGGCCAGCAGACAAACCTGGACCGACACCTCAAGAAGCACGAGGCAGACGGCCCCACTATCCTGGACGACCGCAGGAGCCCGTCTATGCCTCAGGTACGCTCAGCATTCTCTCTGACACAGAGCGTCATGGGCGACGAGTCGTACTTCGAAGAAATACGTTCCTTCATGGGGAAAGTGACAACAGATGGAAGAATGGTCAGTTCCCTAAATCCGCATCACAGAACGTCCATCCCCCCAGCAGGCTACCACCTGAACCACCTGCCACACCGGAGTATGAGTACAGAACCCTTAGTAAGACCGTGTAACTCTCCCCAACCAACAGACACTCAAAATAGGGAACTCCATCAAGACAGAAAAAGAAAACGGTCTTTTTCTAGTGACAAAGACAACTTTTCGTCCCGGTCATCTTCCTGTTCTTTGGCTGGCTCCTCACTGTCTCCGCCACGCACTGCCTCACCCCCCGCACCCCCCGCTCCTCACCAGCTGCCACCAACACCAGAAGCACCGACCAGCCCCGAGGAAGAGTCTTCCTCCCCTACCAACAACACCTGAGGAACACTTTCCATTTTAACTTTCGCGTGTCTGATTCCTTCTTGGTTAGCACTTTGAAGAAATCGAGAGCAGACCCTGGGGCGATGTGGTAAAACTGGCAGGGCGTGGCGAAAGTATAACGAGAAGCTTCTGGTGTCACCATGCCACGGACCAGGAAGAGGTGAAGCCGCTCACCTCCGTAGCAAACTACAGCCAGCAAATTATCTTCAGATTCTGCGGGATGTTTGTATTTTATGAACAGATCTATTCGTAATCTAGTTATTAAGCAAATATGTAATTTCATGGCGTTGGAAGCAATAACTGTTATGGCTGATACCTTCTAAGGCCGATCTCATTCAAGGTTATGAATGCAAGGACTGACTAAAAATTCAGACTAATAAATCACGAAAGTCGATCAACAGTTCATAAATATTAAAACATTAAACGATTACCAAATTACTGGCATCAGAACCACAGGCCTGAAACAAGAGCTCCATCAGAGACTTAAATGACTATGGGCTGGACGGCCGTGGTCCTAATCCCAGTAGGGACAATGATTTTTCTCGTCATCGTCGTTTATGGGACCAGCACAGTGTCACTGAATAGGTAACGGGGTGGGGAGAATGTCATTCTCTCTAGATAAACTTTGCGAAGCTCACTAGCACTGATGCTATGAAAGCGTGGAGCTATACCTCCATTTTTTTGTCGTTTATTATTGAAACATTCCCTGCAAGCCATTCAATAACGAATACGAAGCGGAACTTCAAATTAGCACCTTAAATCAGTTACAAACTGACCTTCTGTAACTGTGTACCCCAACTCATAAATTCGTTGTTATAAAAGTTTAAGAAAAGGGTCGAAGGCAGAGCTTCTGACATCCAGCTTCTTTGCTTACGTTTTTTCTTTTCAATCTCCCTTCATACTCAGTGTACATCAGTGAAATTCGCGTTCTTGTGTTTGCTATTACCTGAATGTCCTCCCTCAATTCCTCCACTCCGAAGAATAAATAATAATCACTGCTGGCCTGCATAAATTAACTCACACTTGCAGTTCGTGAGATGTTTACCCAGACACGCCATTTATGGAACCCGTAGTGCGGAGTGAGGCGTGGTGCCAACGCAGCGAATAGCTGAACCCGTCCAGAGAAATTAGTTCTATTAGTGTCTAAGTGTAACACACGTAGGATACTGACACCTGCGCAAACTGCCTGATCCACAAACAATACTTTAAAATTAATCTTGTCGAGTAAGGATTTATAAATACATATTCTGAGTAACTTACTAGAAGTGAAACTGATTTGCGTAAAAACCTTTCGAATTCGTGAAGGTCGCAGTCAGTGTTTGATACATGAAAAAGGGCTTTATCTGCATCATCACAAACGTCTGATCATCATTTTGTTCGCCCAGCCTCCTGGTTTAACAGTAAATATGGCCGAAGCGTGAAGGTATCCGCTGGGTAAATCGCAGGGTCTTCAAACTGAAGAAATGTTAAGGTTTCCGCGTCCATTTTGTATAGCAGCTAGGGTGCTACCACTGTGTTTTGGATATAGAATATTTGTTTTGCATTCGACAAGATCCATGTTAAATCCGTAATTTATCTCTGTAATGTCACTTTTCTTGTAATTTAAATTATTTCTATCTGAGATGTGAGGTTTTCACGGAAGTAAATATGCAGATGATTGTCTTGCGGAATGTATCTGCAGTACTGAATAAATTGACATGTTTCAAAAGGTGCTAACAGCATCTGCCATCAGGAAGATGGTGAAAGAGGTATTAAGAACCTCTGAAACGTCAGACATTTTCTTATCCAGTAAACACGACGTAGAATCACACAAAACAGTAATACTCAGGGTCCATATTTGTTTAAGTTTTCCAACGTAACTCGGTAGGTTATTAGCATGGGCGTACATACTGTTTCAGCAATAATTAATGTGTCACTCATTACACACCGTTTACAAAAATATACAAGACTTGGAAAGGCATTCGAACCCGCGATCCACATATATAGAAAATGGCGTAAAATCGTGAGCTGTGACCGGGACCTTAACATGTTAACGCTCTATTAAGAAAAGTTTTAAAAAATTGTATGACCTCTCCTGTCTGTCGGTGAATTGTGGTATGAAGTGGCTTTGGAATGCACGAAGACAACTGAAGCAGAACAAATATACGTAAGACAATCCAGTTCCCGTCAAAGGACTTCTGCTAACAAGCGTAATAAGTTAACTCACCGCTTCGTCGTACTACGATCCAATCACGTTTTCACTTTCAAACGGAACCAGATTTGTAAATAGAAATTTAAAAAAAAAAATACGAATATACATAATTGTTTAATACACACGACGAAACTCGATCACTGGAGGAAGATATAAGGAGAACAGTGTTACAGTTTTCCAGCAACACTTTCAATACATCTCTCTCACTTTAACCATATCTGGTCTCTTAAATAACAAATCAAAATGACGGAGAAAGTTTCACCTGTAGAGAGCCTTGCTGAAAAAGTAAAAACTAGAACAACTCTGCGCCCTTCTCTCGCTGTTGGTACTGGAGCAGACAAATGCAGCTACTGTATGTCGCATGCTGTGTGTTAGCAAACACTTCACAAACCTGCTCAAACAACGGACAACACAGTTAGTAGGGGCTCTTCACCTGTTGAAGGAAACAGTTTTACTCACGACAAGAAAGAAGCCTTTAAGGCCAGTCTTAACGTGCATACAGTACAATGGAAGTAGCTGCATCGTGTGTCATGTTAAAACAGCGAAATTTCGTCATATTTCCTAGTTGCATTCGCACGTTAATACATGGAAATTAATAAACTTTACATAAATTTTACAACAACAAAAATGTCGGAACTTTCGCTGAGCAGTGGGGGGGGGGGGGGAAAAACACTGTGCTGACATCTACCGATGAATAAAGAAAACGAAAGTACATTAAGTCAGCGAAAAATAAAAACAATTTAATATGGAAAAAGAAACATGATTTAGGAACGAATAAGAAAGAAATGAAAAATAATGTTATTTGAAAAACAAAGCAACAATACACCTTTCTGAAAGAATCCTGTTAAAGATATATAACCACTGTAACTCCAGGGAGAAGCAGATGAACAGAAATCTGAACGGAACACCTGCCTTCGTGTGAAAGCCCTCGGACCACCGTAGTTGTACGTCTGGTTTATCACATTCGCATTTTTATAGAGCTCGTCACGTCTTTCCGTGTCAAGGTTCGACTACGACTCAAACAGCTGTCTGCCGACAGGCTGCTGAGAAGAATATTTGGACCAAAGGAAGAGACAGTGCCAGGAGACTGAAGTTTAATTATTTGTACTAATCACCAGATATTATTAATGTGTTCACACCATGGAGTAAGAGATAGGAGGGCGACGTAAATGGGACAGGTGAAAAAGGCATGTACGGTTTTTCCAGAGAACCTGAAGGAAAGAGACCACTTGGAAAAACGTAGTAGTAGATGTAAGGGTATTAAACAAACTGGACCGGAGGATGCAGGAAGGATTCCTGAGATTCAGGAATAATACAAGTTACGGCATCTTGTAATGCATAAATACGGAAAGATTCTATACAAACTGACCAACTGTTAGGTTCTTCTGAAAGACACTAGACTGCACAGTTAGCAATTTGAAAAGACGTTATATGAAGTACTTGAATAAGCCATTCTGAAAGGGAACTCATCTGAACAAAATCACGGATACAACGAAACGAATATCAATATTTTCATAACACTTAAGTAAAAATGTATTTAGTCATCAACTAAAATGTTGATCTTTAAGAGGTTAAAGGGACATATAAGGATAACGAGACCAAATCTAGGGGCACTGGACGGTGTTCAGAAAACTGCAAGGAGGCGGAAACCGAGAATTTTTGTTTCACGGGCGGCGTTACAATCCAAAATAACAATGCCATCCTTACCGCCTTGAGAACCTCACATCTTGCACATATAAAACGGACATTAACAATGGAATGTAACAGTAACGAAACATCCGTTTGTAACTTCATTTAGCTCTTAAAATTTATTCAACATTTGTGGCCCTTCTAAGTCTGTTTGGACAACTCTTGTATTGCGTGAGCTCTGAAAATAAAGTCCCGCTGCGTGTGTAAAGGTCACCAACTTGATATTACATTCGAGAATGTACTTCACTTGACGCTAGAAGACGAGGTAATGTATTTTAACGCGTACGGTGATACCTTAGGCAGAACTATTAAACACGTCCTCCGTTCAATATACAATGTTTTGTCAAGACGAACAAATTGATCGCCTCGCTTATTACAACTTGTCGAATACGAAGGAGTATAAAAAAAAACACGTAGAAGTTCGACCTTCCAAAGCGAGTAACTCGAAATGGCGTGCGATCATCACATTTATATTTCGAATTTCCGCGAACATGCGCAGTGGACTGCAAACGTACTCTTCCATTCCTTACCCTTGAAACCGCTCAGTCATTGTAAAAGTTTTTTTTTCTGTCTGTAGTTCTTACTTAATTATTTAAAGCACTGTGTATTTTGCCTAAAGCGTATTCGTGAGTTTCGTATGGTTCTGAGAACAAACAGTGATTAGTTCCTTAAACAGCGTTAACTAGTTTATCTTTGTAATGGTATAGCGTTATGTTTTCTTTGCGGTACGGACTAAATTCTTAAATATGATATCGACTAGATTCGTGTTTCAAAGATTTAAATAAAAAAATACATTAAAGTGGACGTCACAGATTATCCGTGGCAAGCAGTCCTATTTTCCTGGATTAATTTATATTTTAATAAGTTTACACTACAAAAAAAGCTGCTGAATATAAAAATCAAATCAAATAAAACAAAGACGAATCCCTCGTGACAGCAAGGAAGAGTGGATGATGGGCTTATAGTTACAAACAAATAGAAATATCTGTCAGGAAACTATAGTCATCACAAGTTTTTCTCTAGAAACTGCTCTCTGCCACATTCATAAAAAGGATAACAAAACACGATTAAAAAGGTGTACTGTTTGGAGTACACTGAAATTCCAAAGGTGTTCTTAATACCGCAACACGGGCGGTGACGTCAGTAGGTTACTTTGTTGATAACCACGACTCAGAGCAAACATTGCACTTAGATCGCTCTTACTCGAAAGGAATAACAAAGGCAACAATGGTATCTAAGGTCACTGTCGTAACAATGTACCTCAATAATGACCTCGGTTTTACCCTGTTGCAAAATAATTTGTTTCAACAATGACATTTATTTTCAATTTTGCTATAATGTTCTGCAATGACGACGTTGGGTCATGTGGGATGCATAGTTCCTAGGCAAGACGAGACGGACAGATTGACAGACAGACATGGAGAAGCTCATAAGATGTTCTTCGCTCACTCTAGAGCATGAAGAACGCCTATAAAGCTTAAAGTTGCACATTTCCATGTCTTGTTCACTCGGCCTCTTTAGTAATCTGACGGAATGACATAATAGTTTCTAAATGGGTTTCCTAATAAAGTCGAAAAGATAATTGTCCAAGAATCGGGGTACCTGTCATGTTCAATGTTTTAATTAGTTTTATATAATAATAATGATGATAATAATAATGTGTTCCTATTACATTTATGTATAAGTGCAATTTCACAAAGTTACCTTAGACTTGAAACAACCGCATTGTTTTTAGGTTTAATGGACTTCTTATCAAAACTGGAAATAGAAATTAATTCTTTGTAAACTATAATAATGGGCGCTATTCTTATAACAAAATTTTTCAATCATTAATATTTCCAGAATCAGAATCTGAAGGTATGTTTCTCGTGAACATTACCTGTGTGTTTAACAGAGCTCAGAGCTCGAATGACTTTGTACCGGATAAAAGACAGGAAACTAGCTCTAAGAATATATTTTTTTAAATGTACAATTAATATATTATCTTTGTTATGTCATGTTTACATTCGGCCTATAGCTGAGATGAATGTGTGTGTGTGTGTGTGAATGTAGAGTGAAGTAGAACGTAGAAATACTTTCCAAATGTTAGTCTTATGACGAGCTGTTGAAAGCAGCTAAAGTGGCTTAAGTGCTCCTTCGTAAGCTCTTTACATATTTTATTTTCTAGTACATTTAATTATTAGCTTAAGTAATTTGTCACTAGATTCTGTAACCATTGCTTGAAGAATAGAGCCCAACGAAAGAAAACTTAAAATAAGATACACAGTTTGTAAGACCAGTGGTTGACATCGCTTACAAACAGAGAAGACAACGGAAACAAAGGAAAGGAGTCTAGCATTATTGTCAAATGATTGCAGAAAGTTTCATTTTAAGTCGTCTCTCCCTGCATACTTCTACGCTGTTGCAATATAGCGTGATCATTGTAGACGGGCTAACCTAGAAGTCACATTTAACGATGATGCCAAAGTTGAATAAACAACTTACCAACTTATTCATGTGTGTTTTCGTATTAGTAAAAAAAATCTCTGGTGTGTATCACACAGTTGGCAATGCTTTTAGTACCATATCTGCTCTCTCGGTTGAAGATTCCAGGGTGTTCTTAAGTTACCAAATTATATTTAGTCTCACCCTGGTTGACGTAAAACAAAATGTGAACAGATTCTATTGAATTTTTGTTGTGCTCATAGCAAGATAGCTTAGAATGTTTCATTTTTAACTTACAAGTTATATTTATACTTGATACAAATTACATTGTAATTGCAATATTAGATGCAGTTTTCCAATAATGTATTAGAATTTAAAATTATTTTTATTAGTAATAACATTAAGACACCTTGATGTTCATTCATTTTATGTTTAAAGAATTAGTAGTAGTCTGAAGAATATTTCTAACACTAATACTAATAACAATAACAATAATAATAACAAACATGGTTACCACAATATGGCACCTGCAGTTTTGCAATTGCAAGGAAGTGCTAAACACTGCACTAGTCATAAGAGAAACTTAAATAAAAGGGGGAAACCATGAGTTTTGTGTACATAACAAAAACTTTCGAATATTTAATTTATCCATAGCATTTTATAAACATGTATGTATTGTTTGGTGATTACCAGCTACGTATTAATTGTATATAATGTAATATTGGTGAAATGAGTGTTACATACCGAAAATACAAGTAGAATAGCTATGTAAATTGACAAACTGTAATGAAAGACAAGATATATGAAACTGCCTACATGAAAAACGTTTGACTTGCTGTTTTACTTAAATCCTTACACTCTTGACAGGTTTTTTCCTATGAAATGTGGGGCAGCTGTTAGTCTTAGAGGAGCATTAAAGTTTCTATGCCAATATATTCACTTAGCCTAATGTCAATATGATATGTTGGAAACGATTACATGGGTGGGACATGTAACACGCACGTAATAGCAAATTAATATAAAATTTTGTTCCGAATTGTGAAAAGTAAGAAACTACTTGACAGACCTAAATGCAGAAGGAAAGAATATATTAAAATGCATGTACGAGAAATTTAGTATAGAGATATGTGGGCTGGAATCAGCTGCTTCATGAGAGAGACCAGTGGTGGACTCGTGTTAACACGGTAATGAACCTTTGGGATCCATATAAGGCGAGTAACTTCTTGATTGGCTGAGTGAATATAGGTTTTTCAGGGGAAATTTGTATCGAGTAGTTAGTGATGTTGAAAACAAACATTTTACCACATGTTTTGTCTGGTAGTGAAACATGGGGAGAATACAGATTATAAACAAAGTGGCACGGGAAATATTTGGATGTGGGAGATGTGACGATGGTAAAAAAAACGGAGAAACAGGCGGCCAGTAGGAGTCACTTTGTATTCTCAGGGTAATACAATTCCCATTCGGAATACGGGCACAGCATGACATGTTCAGTTGTCCACCGGAAGCTTGCGTCATTCAGATTTAAGACTGTTCACCTCTAAGACACAGTCCACCCGGTCTTCAGTTCCGTTCCTCTGACGTTGTCCTGGTAACCTTCAGTCTGGAAATATTTTCGCTGACATTGTCTACAAACATCCCTAATGAACAGGTTTTAATTTTCGACGTCAAATAACTGGAACATTTACAGTTGTTGTCCATGAAATTCCTACGCGGCAAATTTTAGTCATGAAATCGAAGATTTAAAACGACAAGAGTTGTTACATACATATTCAACATATGCCCTGAAGAAGGCGGTGATAGGTTTCTCCGAAATGCTGGTAATTACCTACAAGTCTACATGGCGTCAATCCCAGAAGACCACAGGAGATATTTACATTGACGTACGTCAGAACCTCAAATAACATTCAGAACAGACTGGCAACAGTTTTCCTTTGCTGATCGTAAGTTCGTTTCATGCTAATGCTTTCGCGTTTTACCTATAATACCAGCCACGCGGTTAACTGGAAACTTTGTAGTAAGTTAAGTACAATGCAATACGCCATTTAATAATTTAGTAAAGTTATTAGCAACACGATCAGAGTTCAAGTCCAGGGGATAACATTTAGAATTTTCTCTCATTTTACATGTCATCGGGTCAACTTTTAATCCTGACTAATATTAAAGATCGTGTTAATGTTATCTGAAAACCCTATTAACTTTAATGGATAAAGGAGTAATTGCTCAGTGATAAAATTTGTCTTCGTTTGCTCTAAATCTACGAGTGCATTCCATTTAGGCCTGTTTTTGTTCATGTGGTCCCGTTCTTCTATTTTTAACATTTGACGTTGTTATTGTTGATTGCACTGTTGTCCTCTTTTCTAGTCTATACATCTGTTCAAAGTGTTCACAGCTCGGTCCGACCACGAATAAATAATGAACAAAACTAGTATAATACCGGTTCGCCAAGACCGACGGATAGCAGCGGATACTGCCTCTCTCTTGGTCTGCGGATAGAGTCTTAGCAAACACGGGAAGCAAATTAAGGTGGGGTTATGATTCGAGGTCGCCATATTAGACTTGTAGACATGCGTGTTCTCTTTACAGCTGAACAAGCCTAAAGGTACTTACTCGTTGCTGTGGCCACACACTGGTCCATGCAAAAACACGCGCATAAACTGTGTTTACAAGAAGGGCTTAAACATAATTCAGTCCACGTGGGTGTGAAACGTGGTTTCTCCGTTTGAGAGAAAAAAAGAGACCGGGGACTTTTGAATACAAACCGATGACGATACAAGGACGCAAGTGTGATAAGTGACAGAGACAGAAAATTGGGTATTGCGTATCGGTTATTTTTTAATTACTTTTGTCACAGTTACTGCAACAAGAGAGATATGCAGGAAACATAGCAAACATGGAGATTTCGTTTAACGGACACAATTACAAACGGATGAGGTCACTTTTGAGGCTAACTTGTAGTTGGCACGCTAATATCAAAATAGGTTTTAATAGCATTGCTTGTGAAAGAATAAACTAGACAGAATTGGCTCAGGATGTTGTGAAAACGCGGTATTTTATTGTTATGGCTGTTATGAACATTGTGGTGTCGAAAGAAAGAACAAGATCTTGATCAGTTAAAGAAGTACGAAGTTCAGAAATGAAATTCTTACAGCGATATGTAAAGACTCTGTTCAGTATCACAATGTGGACTTGTACGTGGTTACCACTGTTTCGAAGGAATGTGTGGCCTCCATCTTCAGGCTTACGGCCTCAAAACCGACAAGACCACAACAAAGTATTAAGTTATTAATTAACACTTTTCCAATAAGGAGTTTATTTGGTTAATTACTTCGTCAGACACAAAAATGTATTCTGACCTATGGCAGATGTTTTTAGATTTTTTTATGATTTTGGATAGGGATCGATTCCCGCCAGGGACAAAGATTTTTCAGTTATCGCAACATTGAGACCCACCATTCGACGGCCCACGTAGCCTCATAACCAGTGACTACAGAAGCTACGTCTGCCGGAGCTGACAAATTCAATACTGTCCAGATCTATAATTCGTGGGGTAACTCCACGTCACCCTACGCACGATGCTTAAACACAGGGGAAACTTCATTCTGCCATTTATTTCTAAGCTCACTGCCCCACGTTGTATTTCAGCACCTACCGTCTAGACAACGTGGAGTTTTCTTCCGGGGGCTTCCCCGGTTTCTCCGTGGCATCCCAACAATTACTCCATTCACACACAGAAGAAGGCAATGGCAAACCACTTCTGGATCATCTGCCAAGAACGTATATGAACAGGTCCCAGTCCGAGAAAAGGATGGAAGGATCCTGTTCATATGGACCTGTCGTCAGACAGAACACTAAATAAAAAATAAATACCATGTGAATAGGGTGCAATTAGATGCAATGAGCAAACAGAGCACATGTAATTACAATACCAGCTGTAGCTTTTTATCATATAAAGCCTTCTTCATAGCTAAATGAGCGTCGTTTTAGATGTAATGTAAAGGTGATTTAAAAGCACGGACACTACTAATGTAGCAGGGTTCACTTTATAACATTGACATAAATGTCATTGTGGTACATTATTTTTACAGAGGCTTTAAAATATCACTAAATTTGCTCACTATTTTTTTTATTTTCATCAGATAATTATTCTTCTTTCCTCTAGAACGCCATCACTAGGCCTAAGAAAAATATTGCAACTGTCTGATATTCAGCATCTGTCTACAGACATTTGTCACTAGAAAGTGAAATAAAACAGAAAATTTCTCTCGCAATTTAATATACCGGTAGTGGCAAAGCGTAGAGTTTCATTTTCAGGTTTAAACATTTTATTATTGCTTCAATCGTAGATTATTTAACCCTCCAAATCAAAATTAATCCACAAGTACCAGCTGCTTGAATAATCAGTAACACTGCGTTTTGTATTTGTGGGTTTCTTACGATTCTCAGGGGGGAAAAACAATGATTACTTTGTTAAACATAGTTAAAACTTTGAACCTTACAATGTTGAAGTGAAGAATTTTCTTTGCAGTAGGGGCTAAATTCTTAGGTATTATTTAGACGAGTTTCGACTAGACTACTGAGGCTTCCAATTCAGCAGGGACAGTAATTTAAGTCCATATTGACTTTGTGGTAACCAGAGTGTGGGATGTTCTTTATCCTGAGATTAAGCTACCAGAACGTGAGACTCACCTCAATCCAATACCAAAGTTAAGAATGGGTGTAGCTTTAACACCTGGATGGAGTTTAGTTTATGCACAAAGTAAATTTCGTAGCAACGATTCTAGTGCGAGAAAATTTTCTGCATCTCTCACAAGGCATAAACGCACTTACATAAATTCACACCAAAATAGGACATCTTAGTGAGAGATCATGTTTATGGATTAATCAGGAAAAAAAACATCTTATTGGCATAAACATCATTACGACAAAAATGACTATGACGTAATCAGTTTCATTACTTTCAAACCATTCTGCGCCGATTATAGTCGCATACATGGGAAGGAAGGTGTCTTCCCTAGGGCGACTCGCCTTCCGGGAGGTGGATGAAAGTGTATAATTGGCACGTAGCTGAAATGTCAATCAGGAACGAATAAGCAAATGGACTCTGATCTATAGCGGTCAAGTTACATTTGCTTCCAAAATGGAAAGTAGGGTAAAACATATGGACAATCTGTTTCTTCCTCCCCTACAGGCCCAGGGACGGTATGAACCAATGATCTAAAAGTTGCATTTGTTGGAGTCGTTGCAAAACTACTAAAACGTGGGGCCTGCAGAAACTGGTGACCAAGTGCAGTAACTATGGAGAGATTACTCAGTAAAGCAACACAACACGCGCATCATTCTGTCTGCTCTACTTAAGACAATTACTCTAAATTAAAAGTTAATTAAAGTCTCTCGCGGTTTGGTTTTGGCAACGAAATATCCCGTCCCGTCTTGTCATAATTGCATCATCCAATTAGGTATGACACAAAGAAATGATTAAATGGTAGTACTTAAGCAACCATTTGGCATCACACTCAAATATGGAGATAATTGTACAAGTTTAATCTTCTTGCAGCAATTTATTTCAGTGTCCACTAACTCCATATGAGCTATCCCCCTTTTTACTTTGTTTCCATTCCTGTTATCTTCTTTTTGACTTTTTATTCTTCTCTACTTAAAACCTTCCATACCGCGCAGTGTATTAATATATAAAAATCATGCATACAAACAAAACTGCTTACACATTAAATAAAACTTTGTGCGAAACGTGTTTCGACCTCAAGAGGTCATCATCAGTGGCAAAAACATTCATTCAATAGTCTGTATATTAGAATCATACAATTCAT